CGCGTAGAGAAATACGCCGAGAAGAAAAACGCCCCCGTATGAACAGCTTCATACAATCCCATACGTTCTATTTTGACACATAGTTACCGCCAAGCGTTTTCGCGTCCGTGCGAACGCTCGCTAAACAATAAAATAATTTTATGTTGATGAAATCGCACGGGAACAGCTAGTAAAATATAAAACTTAAAAATACAAGGAATGGATCTACAACTTATTTACGGATTAAGTATACTTAATAACTACAAGCTTTTAATTACCATACAAGGTATGTAGCCCTGCATATGTTTAGGAGAAATCTTGCAAGTTGAATCGACCTATAATTACTTAAATTGTCAATTAGACAAAGCGTCTTTATTTATTCGTCTTTTGATCTTCATTACATAATCCGAGGTGAAGATAAAAAACCCGTGGGTACAAGAACAATTGTAACTTCGCATATCTCCGTGCGAGCGAGACGCATATTATTGTGATGGGTGCGATAGAGATGGGTAATAACTAATAACAAGTAAATGTACGAAAATCTTCGTGGTCCGTGCCGGTCTATAGATCACATTTTAAGCTTGCCTGCTAATGTTACACTGACGCTTATTTAGCGCATTTTATTTTCAGCTTTAGTGAGCGAAATCCCGGCTTGCTCATGGCTAAAGTTTATGCGAATCATGGAATGACCCATGAAATTGCCTAGCATTCGGCCATGGCAGAAAGACTTAGAATGCAGTCCCATCTCGTTACATATCAAGTTACCAATTACTATTGGTATTCATATGTCGGTATGCAACCGGTTGTAAACCCTTTCGTACAACCGCAACCTCTTGTCCCTGTTATAGTGCCGACAAATGTATTCTATTACTCTTATCAATATTATCAATACTACCAGTATAATGGGAATGTACAACAAAGGAACAACGAGTAAACTTCATTCATGTATATACAAACTGTACCATCAAATGTAATATTAATTTTAAGCCTATGCAATTGTCTAAGGTGTTTGGAAGTAAAGACTGCGGTGTGTGTTACCTGATTGGCTTTAAATCGTTCATTTTCTAAAAATTTACGAAAAAAATAATTAAAAGGGTGTGTGATACTTGTCGAATTTACGCGCTAATGCGCTATTTTTCGTTATTTTTATTTCTAAATTGCGAAGACTTGGTCTTCTTGTGAGAGATGTGAAAAGTTACTATCAGAATTCCTTTGTACCAAATTGCTTAACTTCTTGCCGTATGCTATTGTGCGATTTAACGCATTTCTTAACATAAACTAACCACAGACTTTATACACATAGACAAACCAAAGATTTTTAAATATCCAAAACTAACTGTAAATATTTTGCTATAAAGGAATCCTGATATTAACGCGACGAATGTGAGACTGACTTGCATAGGTGTTAAATTGTACATACATTATAATAATGTATTCCTACTTTGTAATATACAAGATCCGTAAACGCACGAAATTATTGATAAATATGTTCAAGGGAAACATCAAATATTGGTTGGTAATACTCGCCACGAATCTCTTATTACTCAAAGTAACACTCTCGCGTATGAATGTAAAATTCAGGCCCATTCACACTTAAGTGCAAGCCAACAGCGATTGGGGGTTTATGTATATTTTTAGTATAAATCGTGCGAGTTGTATCCAACTATGCATAACCACTACTCTGACTAAATATTTAATTGCTAGTTGCTATTCAAATTAGTAATAATAATAATAATAAACATACAAAAAATCGTTAAAGACTTCAACTAATCAAAGTATCAATGGACCCTTAGCTCCAATGTGAACTTTTATGAGTGAACCGGCAGACGACAGAACTAAAGTTTCTGTGAATTCACAACACTTATTTATGACTACCTAAAAAGCAAGACAAACCGTGGCGGGTATTATACTAAATTATTTCTTTTTACTTTTAATTTCAATTTCATAAAGTTTTTCTAAAATTATTTACATTACATTTATTGTAATTTGCCGGGAGTTTTTTAAAAATGATCTGGCGACTTTTGCTCAAATTTTATAAGACCTTATTTTCTCTCTAACTCATTTGTTAATATTATTTAGAATAATTTTTAATGTAGGTTGTTTAGTTAAGATGGACTACATATTCACTAATCCGACAATAACAACTAACTTTTATGTACATATGTTGATTTATCACATTAATCTATTTACCCTTGTAAAAATAACAGGGTGTCGTGTTTTCTAAACCCGAATTAGAACGCACAATACTATTAGATATGTTACATTTTTTATTTCGGTTAAATAGTGAAACTTGGATTGTATATTATAGTGCTATCAACTATAAATATAAGGAATTTTTATGGTATTGGATTATGCCTACTTGTGCTGTAAAGAACAGGTAAAGCAACAAATATCTTTGTATTTCTTATAATGTGTGTGACACATTATGATATTTTGAGGTTATCTGTCATATCTCAATGTATTAACCACAACTTACCTAAATCAAGAAGTCTATTACTTTGATTTTCATTAGTTTTATCATTTTAAAAAGATAATTATAATAAAAACTACAGTATTTTTTTATATATATGTTTTCTTAATATGTACTATACTAGGTGGGTCTAAAAATTCCTTTGTCACTTTAACCATTCCGACAATATCTCGAATAATCTTCGAGGTTGCTCTTGCCATAGATAAAAGATATTTATAAGTGAAACAACCGAAATCGGAGTATGCGTGATAGAGCCAAGTTTCACTGTTTGAATGTTGTTTTAGTTGATGTTTTGTTAAAATGTTTATAATTTTTGTTCGTTGGCATAAAACCCTGAAAGTCGTGTTCTATATTTGTTATTATTTCAGTTACATATTAGGTTACCGTGTAAATAATCTAAGGATATCGTTTGTATACAATACGTGCGAATAAACGCAAGTTTTTTTTATAATAACATTAAGAGCCTGTCCCACCAAATTGTTAATTGTCTGATAACAATTCAATATGTAAAATATGTGATGGAAATATCGGATTTTGATCCCTTATCTGACAGTGACGTCATTTTCAAGCTATCTGTGACTCCTATCAGTGGTGGGACAGGCTCTTATAGTTTAAATCCGGATTCAGAGCCGAGTGAATATGTTTTAAAAATATATTTTTGTACTATGTTCCTTATATTTTTTTTACTTACTATAAGAATGTTTGGATTATTTTAAAATTTGATAGATTCCTATTTGATAGTTTATAACTTTCCATAGTAATGCATGAAATGTGCCAATGCCTGCATGACGTTTTTACCGATTGAGACGTTACGTTATTCCGTTTCTATAGCACGTGTTACACCAATTGTAACATCGATCACGGTTGATTGGAGTTTGTACAGAATAAGTACAGTTTTGAGAAATTATAAAACTTAAATTGAGAATTTAAGACGCGCCTGTAGTTGTATTGAAGTGATGACCTTCAGTGATTTAAATAAAGACATAGCTTAGTCTGCCAACAAACTTAATAAAGTCCAGTAATTTATGTACAGTATGTATGTTTGACCCCTTAATGCAACTCGATGTGGACTTACATTGACGTCATATACGTTTTACTTATAATTGTGGAGATTGAAAGATTCCATAATTTGAAAATCAGTAATTTCTCATAAATAACTGTACATAAATTTCAATTGCAACCAAAGAAATCAAGATTTAAAATACGTAATTTGCTCCTACCCTCGAATCAGATATTGTTGTCACAAGAATGATACCAAATTCTATATATCAGATACTTGATGACGTCACGTGGGTTTTCCTTCGCCAAGTACAAGTGAACACCCACAATAATTGGCGCAATTTTTTAATTAGTAGTTGTTGCTGTAGTATTTAGTAAATGTTCAATAGTAGCGTAGAAAATTAGATTGATGTGCCATAGGAATAGTTTTAACCAGTAATTATTTTTTGTTGTATTCGTATAATTTGATTTTCGTTAATTTATTTTACACAGTTTTTTTCCGATAGGTATACTAGCTTTTGTTAAGATATGATTTTTGTACATATACAATTGAAGAAAATGAGCACCAGCCATTTAAAAAGGTACAGTACAAATAGTAATTGAAGTTTAGCTAAATTTATAAAAAAGAAATACATAAATACAATTCTTTTAGAAATATTTCTGACAGTTTTCTGTACTTCAAAAATGTCCAAAACATTTCAGAACATACAATTTACACTTTTTAGGTAAATATTTTTTTAATCTTAAACAGAATGAAAATATTAAGTACAATTATTTTGGTACATTTTTTCATAATATTAGTCAATAAATGTCATAGAATAGAAATTGCTTAAATATGTGTCGTAATATCGATGTTAAATGTATTTCCACTTTGAAATAATTGATAGATAACGGGCCTGAGCTAAAAAGACATTCTTCAGCTGATTCAAATGACCATTCAATGTTCAAAGGTTTCGATTGTCAAAGCTCTTGATATCCCTATTTCTCTATGAGAAAACAACATGTGTCACGAACGTCTATAAAATGGATAGGCATTTTGGTGCTGTTGGTTTCGATTGGTAGCTGTGGTGAGGATTTGAACTAGTAATAGAGATAAACTGTCAGTATAGTTAACAAACGCGTTTAAGTCGGAACGTAACAAAATACGTCGTTTCCAAGCATTCGCCTGTCCATTTAGAGATCAGTGGCGTTAAAACAAGAGTTATAGCATTCGAAACCACAGATTATAAATACAAGCATAACAGCCCGAACGCATGTTCCACTTATTAAATATTTTTTGGACTCTCTTGATGTTTTAGTGGTAGTAGTAAACTTATCTCGGTGTAACTTAATGTTAGTATAAACTTGGTAACGCAGTAAGGTTTATTTTTATTGAAGTTTAATTTGCATATAATATGGAAGACATATTGGTCTTATGCGACTTTTTTTTTTGCAAAATGCAAATATTCCATCTTAGGGTAAACTCAATTCCAGATTAGCCATGATTTTTAAAAGACAAAGATGGTAATGGGTCTACTAGATTTCGAATTCAAAAATCCCGATATTAAGCAAAGGATTCGGGATGTTCAGTTTTTTTGCAATTACTGAATAGTGTGATCCGCCTGTTACTTAGCAACTTCTCTAAAGAAGTTTCTTCTATTTTCTTTTGTAAATAATCGTATTTATAATCCTAAGTTACTTGGAACTTTTGAGTTCCATCTTACTTTGTAAAACTTATTTATATTAAAACTTAAAAAACTATCTATTCTTTTCGACTTTAAGCCAACTTCTAAAGTTAAATTGAATATACTTTTTATACGAATATTTAGTAAGTTAACCTTTTTTGTAAGCTGCAAACATTTTCCTTTCTGCTTGTTCCGTCCGACAATGCATAGCATTATCACTCAACACCGTTCAATAAAAGTATCTCCGATTAATTTTATTATATTGTTTTTTTTAATATTGATATTGGTATTTTTCACATTTAGGCCTAATTAAAATTGAACTATTAAAACCGAATATCCCTTTGGTTCCCAATTTGAGAGGCGGAAAAAAAAGACCGCTGAAGACTGAAGGCTTTTACTGCGTTTCAAAATTGTCAAATTAAGACAGTTACGAAATTAATCTTTCGTCAAACTTACTTTAAAGATACCTTTTTGATAAATACCAACAACACTGGTCTGCAAAAATATTACTCCCTTAAGTTTTGATGCTTAAAGATTTTACATTAGGTGTTCCTAAATTAAAATAAAACATGCAAATAAAATAGCACGTAGAATTTATAATATATTTAGAATTACTATAGATAGTAAATACTAAAAAAAAGGTTCTTTTAAGTAATTAAAACATCCAGTAAAATGTACAGAAATAAAGAAAGGAATGAAAAATAATAAAAACTGTGTTAGCGTTACATCGAGGACAATACTAAAACCGTTTTATACATGTACAGACTATTTCATAACATTTGGGAAAAACATGATAAAAAATTATAAAAAAACTTGAACAAATTACAAAAAATTACAAAAATTGAAACTTGATTTTTTTCTAGTTACAGAAATAGATTCAGGGTAATCAAATCTTCATATTTCGTAAAGGGGGGATATTGTTGCAGGCCAGTGATATAGACAATCCCGCCTCTGTAAATAAATTGTAATATTTAACAATCAAATAAATAAGGTTCTTTCAACATTAATATACGTAATGTATATTTCAGAATATAAATATTTTTTTAAAGTTTTATTCATAATTTAGGAGGATATTCATGGATAACGCAAAATTTGTTTTCTTTAAGTAAAGTCCGCCTAAACTATTTTTCAAGCTCCTGTCGCGATTGTATGAAGGTTTTGACCAATTTTTACATTGACATAAATCTAGTAAGATTTAGGAGCTTTAAAAACACAAGGTAAAATTAAATTAATTATAAATAATATGAAAAAAAAAACACCTTACCCCGTTTATTTAAAAAGAAAAAAAACACGAATTTTTAAACAATTGTAATCGATCGTTTTTTCATCTTATTAAAATAAGGAATTAGTTCTATATTTCACATATTTCAATTCTATGTAATACGTCAATTAAACAATTTTCGATTTTAAGCAGCTTATTTTTTTATTACGAAGTTCAGATTATTTACATCTCTAAACAACTTTAAAATCAACATTTTAAAGTTGTAACTGGTTTATCCTAAAATTCCATCAAAACTATCGCTTGCGTTAATTGCCACGTTTTAAATATATATTCTTAAATACACTACAACCAAAAAATACACATACACATGGGTATGCTTTCTTTATTTAGCATGTTTAAAATAATTCCGCTTTTTAATATTAAAAAACCATTAAAAGACTTTTGTAGAAACCCTTTTAAATGCTGCAATTGAGGCGTTTTCATGCCTAATATTGGTCTATTTATATTAAGACATCGCTTCATATAGATGTTCTTGCACTTTGTTAGTAAGGATCGATGTGATATACGGCTTAAGTAGTTAGTGCTTTATGTGTGAACGCTTCAATAACAATTATAGATTTTCATCAAATAATACGTCACTTAGCCATTTTAAGTCTTAAATTACTTACGTGTTACGTTTTATCTTATATACCTTATACGGTTTTGTTTTCGTAAGAAAAATGTCGTTATTCTAAGAAATTAGTCGTTTAAGTTGTATCGAAAAGATTTCAACGCTCATTTATTTAGGATGTGTTTATGTTTATTAAATTTTCTACAGATGTATTGTTTTGCAGAATAACAACCACGTGTGTGACGTTGGTAAAAAAGAAGGTATTCAATTTAGTTGTGAACCTCAGTATTATTTGATTACGGGTACAATGTAATTCCCTTTTTCTATTACTTATTCCATTTATTGTTTAACTTACACAGGGTCTTTATTTAAATCCTATAAATCTTCACTTTATACAATTTTCTAACAATATTGATGTTTAGAGTTAACAGTAGAGTCAATTTGAAGACAAATAAAATATCGATGTGCTAAGTATATTTTTTACAACCCCTATTTCTTCGAACATGTAACAGCGTCGGTGGACAGTAAGTATTTATTTTTGTTTCGTCAATACTAATATTGTAAAGAGAAAATATTTTTATTTTTGTATGTATTGCAGTAAGTAAAAAACTGCTGGGCCGATTTCAAAAATTCCTTTACCATTAAGAAGCTACGTTATCACTGATTAACATGTTATATTTTTCATTAATAATTTAAGTAATGATTGATTGAAATGAAAAAACTTACGAAACGCCATAGCTTTTTCGTTATAGTAAAGTGGAAGGACAAGTATAAACAAAGAAAACCTTGTTCGTCAAATCTTGAACAATTTTAAATTGCCTTAAGAATGATTAAGAAGAATGAAGAGCTTTGAAAGTGTACAAAACATTGATTACAGTACCCGGCCAGTAGGTGATTCTTCTAAGTAAAGATTTTTAAGAGACAATGCGGCGCCTATTTTATATTATTAGCAAAATTTTGTTTAGACATTACTCCATTTCGACTTTTGAAAAAACACCGAAATTGTTACTGCCGCTGTAAATGGTGGTCTGGGTTAAATGGCCGAGCTAGCCAATTGCAATTTATTTCTTGTCCTTTGTAAATTCAGTATAGAATCGTGTTAGTGTTACCTAAATAATATTTGACCAACCAAATGAACTACCTGTAATTATATTTTCTTTAGTTATTTAATGTAAGTCTTTAACTAAAGTGTATTCGCTATACAGGAGTAAAAGGGTACAAAACAAGAAAAATTGATTGCATAATATTTTTTTATGATAATTCGTATTAAAATATTTGCAGGTTTGTTGTTACTATAATCGCCAATAAATTGATATCCAGATGGTCATTGTGAGACTACAGCATTGTCTACTTTTAAAATTTGCAATTCGATTATCTATTGATATGATTATCTAACATAAAACTTGAGTAACTACAATATGCAATAGCATGAGCTTTGTTGTCTAAAGGCTTTGTATGAATTTTCCATTGCGAGAATCTAGCTGCTTATCGCAGCCACAGAGCATAGGAAACTGATGCTTGCTTAGAGCTTGTATCACGGGCTTTCCAGGATTACCTACATTACTGCATCTAACGAGCCGCGACATATGATAATGCCTTTGGGCCTCTTGCAAATCTGCTCTCTACACCTGTGAACAAAACCGAATAACCGTAAAAGTTTAACCTAAAATGTATTGTAAGTATCACCTTACATCATAATTCTTACTTTATAAAGGAAAGTTGTTGACTGAAGGTAAGTGAGTACTTAGTACTTTTAATTGTAATTTAAAGCAAAGATTGTATTTGTTACAGATTATTCGACAGCTGTTATTTTAAATTGACCGGTTCCAGTATCTTTGAAACACTATCTACGATTACAAATGGCCTCCGTATAGTAGTAAGAGATGTTATGCTTGAATTTGCATATCATACTCTTACCTTTTTATTTTAAAATAAACACATGAAAAATACAATATTTCTACGATTCTTTGTGGAGGAGTAAGAGATGGTAAAAGAGAGAAAGAAAACGGAGGAGAATTTCTATTAACATGACATTATAGCTCGTGTTAATTTTTGTTAAAAGAGAACAATAAATATGCGAAAATATTAACCTCATATTGACCTATTGAATAGTATGACTTTAAATTGAAGCCAATATCGTAAGTCCTAACGAACATAAGTAATGGGTTTTATGTCAGAGATAATAAAATTGGAACCTAAAAAACGAGTTTGCATTAAACGTTGAAACATTCAAAACCAGTTTTAAAATCGCTACTTGTAATGATATGTGTTTACACGAATAAACGATTTAAAAGGTCTTTGTTAATCATAATTTTATTCATATTTCCGATATAACCTAGCCTTCCCTTATCTCGCATCCCGCTATGTCAAGCTACTGTCATCATCATCCTCATTTACCAGTTTGTAAGTTTATATTGTCGAAAGCCTGGTATCAGTTGTGTGCGTCTTGTACGTTGTTGCTAGTCTTGCAACCGTAGAAACACAGCTGGCAAACATAATGATGTACAATTACGGTTTAATTGTCCTAAACAATAACAAGAAAGTAGTCTTTGAGGCGTCAAATTAACTAACTTCACTGATTTTAAATCTCCTTAAACCTTTTTAGCAGGAAATATTCTCGGTCCTCCACTGCAATCATATTTCTCTTCCAGTACTTGACTTTTTATTATCTACAGTAATACTCTTGATCTTGATTACTCATACGACCTTTCTATTAAACTACATGAAATAGATTTAGTGTAAAAAAGTATTCTGACCTGGAATTTAATTTTGAAATTCCACCGCCACGCTCTACAACACTTCATATATTTTAAAACAATTCAAATTATTTTACTGACGCATGACTAATTAATTAGTTAGGTGTTGATTTAATATAATAATGCTTATAACTTTAAGAAGTTGTTTACAGCGGTACTGAATTTATTTTTGTTTGTCTAAGATCTGTTAATGTTTTAAATTTAACCGTTCTAAGAATTGCAATAGCAATTGAAAACTGTGATGTGAGGTTAGAAGGCAAACAATCCTTTTGATTCTGATTATCTTATTACGACTATCCAAAATGCGGATGTTTTGATCAACTTTCCGAGATGAATACTTTTTACACTTAGCAGGGAATTCCTTGGAGCCGTGAATCATGTACATTGTACACAGTCTCATTAATGTAATTATCTCATTAAGAAAGGCCACCGTGTGGTTACAGTTACTTTTGTGGTATCAGGTGAATACGAATGCCATAATAGGAGATGAATAAAGTTTACACGGACGTATTCTATGCATTTCTTTTATTGTAGTCTTTGTTGATATTTGAGCATATGATGAACTTGACATGATTTTGAAGATTTTGTGTGTAAATATTGTATGCAAGTCACGATCTTAGAAGTTTCTGTGTTTGTTCAAATATGTCATGGTGATCGCCTTTGCCATAC